TGGTGTAGTGGTGAAGTGCGCTGCTCCCCGGTAAGGACAACGGCGCGTGTTCGTTCCCCACTGCATACACCTGTGGTCCGGAGTTTTGCAAATATCTCAGCATTTCATATGAGACGCATAATTGTTTTCAGCCAGCAACACCTACACCATAGCATTCCACACACTACTTTAATTAAGTTGTCCTTTAGAATCTTCGACTATCTGGTCTTACACAGTCGTCTATTTATCTATTTCAACTTCGATCAATCAACAGTCGTGGATTTTCATCCGATTTAACTCGACCACCGGCCACATTTTTCACTCTCAGTGAAGATGGCACCGATGTGGCGGTAGTGACTGGAAAGGTAGGATCACCTTCAATATCCACATACAACATCTCACGTTTTTTTGCTATATTTTTTTGGAAAGCAGCAAAATTTAGAGTGAGTCCATTCCACGTCCAATCATTATACTGCTTGCTATTGGTGGGACGCTCTTACTGCTATTCAATTGTGTTTTACTCTGTTACTTACAACGACGAAATAAAAAGAAAAAAATTCAAGGTAAGTCATCACAACTTCAAATGTTTTCGTTTTTTTCACCAATCAAATATTCTCTGACAACTTCCTTCTTTCTGCGCTAGAAAAAACCGAAATGGTACGAACGGCAATCAACGGAGAAACTGTGCGACCAGTTCAGATGTATGGAACAATGTTACAGGTAGCCAATCACTTATAGATTTATACGAAAAAATACAAAGCAGGTTGTTTGCAAAACTTCGGACCGCAGGTATCTGCGGTGGCGAACGAACGCGCTATTAGCCTTTCCGAGGGCTAATGCGTTCACCACCACACCATGACGGTGATTCGTTTCGCCTGCCTCTCAGCTATTTCTACCGATCGTTGCCATCAGCAATCACCCGTCAGCAAACGAAGGACGCGCGTGGTGTCATGGTGAATGCGTTAGTCCTCGGAAAGGGTAATAGTGCGTTCGTTCGCCACTGCAGACACCTGCTGTCCGGAGGTTTGTAAATATCTCAGCATCAATGAGTTATATTTCGCAATATAGCATGCGATTAATAAAGAGAAGGCAGTAAATAATAGGTTAAAATTGTGATACGAAACAGGAGCAAGAAAGAGTACGTGTTTTTGTTAGGACTTTTCAAATAATATTTTCGACATTCTAATTGTTATGGCATGTACTTCTAACTGATGAAGATAAAGGATAAAGCTCTCGGCGTTGATCTATCCCTTAGGGGTTCGCCAAGCATTCAACTTCATCATGCATCGTTTTGAAGTGATTTAATGCATACCTGGCCTCTAAAATGACGCGCGGGTGGCCTAGCGATGTATCTAGCTAGTGCTTCTATCCTTCCAGAGAAGCCTGGTACCAATTTGCTTACCTCGGGAGAATGGAATGCTTGGTGGGCCAGGGACGAGGGATTTAATCTCATGTGTATTACAGGGCGTCTCCGACCGCCGCGCCACAGGCGCTCCACTTTCTTAGCTTATTACAAATAAACTTTAATGTATTGTACTCGTATCGTTTCTGTTATAAATTAAATATTTATGATATTTTTCATAATATACTATCCGTAAAAATCAGCTAGAGATTGCAAAATACATGCGCAGTAGTGAAGATTACTGTTATTTATAGAGATTTATTTAGGCAGAAGGCGCTCCACATTGTGAACGAGATGAGCGAGACATTCCAGAGGCAAGTGAAGACGATCACAGCGTACGAACGATGATTGTACGAATAAATCTAGTATAGTAATTTATTCAGTAATGACTAGTCAATGGAGTAAGATTTTTTTAGGAAGTGAATCCGAACGGTTATATGCAACAAATCGATCCATCATTGTATGAGCGAAACTGTCTAGTGCAATATGAGTTTGATGGTGAGTAAATTACTTGGTATCTCTTAAAATTACAACCAAAGCTGATAGACATACCTAATTTAGCACACGATTATCCTAGCAGTAGACATAGTACTATGGCTAGAAATGGAAGCAATGTTACATATAGCAATATGCCTTATCCGGTAAGTCGTGACCAGAGTATTGGCTATAAATTTTTGTTCCGAGCTCTTGAAAATCCTCTGAAGATTTTCTTGTTTAAAACGGGATTTGAAAGAGGGTTTCGCTAAAAGCGGAGCTAACATTGTTATGTCAATACGCTAATCGTGCAAGGTCATTTTACTGATAAGCAGAACCAATTACGGGCGAGTATGGAAGGTTCAACAGCAAGTCCAAGAAATTTTTAATAAGATATCTTTTGTTGTGTTCGTCACCAAAAATAAAGCGATTAACTGTTCGTTAAGGAACCACCGCTTGATGTATCACTGTATTCTGATCGGTCACTTTCTCGCCGACAGTTTACTAACGCAAACAACAACACTAGTAATACAGGAAACAGCACCACCACCACCAACAACAACAACAGCCATAACAACAACAATAATAATAACAGTAGCTGTCCTCATCATCTCTTGTCCACGTTCATACATCCAAATGGTGTCCGTCCGGGACCGCTCTCATATTCACAACTCGATGGCGATTTAGTATAACTGTTTTGGTAGAAGTACAAATGACTTACTCGCTCACTCGGTTCAGAGTGATCTCTAAATATCGATCTAGTCTTAGTGGTACACATGCGAGAAAGTCGTTATTTATTACCTGTGATATGTGATATAAAAATGTGCATTTTCTGGGCTAAAATCTAACAAGCCGAAACGATTTTTGATGGATGGTGAACTACAGAGAAATATTACTAACGGGTCCGGAATTCTACCGATAGCATTCAATTTCAGTGCATTTTTAAATTTTCTAAGAGAACATCTACTCTTAAAAAAATGAGCAAATAAGGATAGCCCATTCTTGAACGAAACTTTTCTTGTATTCAGTCTTTTTTCATTTGAAATAAAATTATCCATTCTGTTGGCAAGTCTTAGGCCTTATCGTAATCTACACTGAGCAGATTGGGATCGACACAATTCTCCGTTTCACTGGTATCTTTTTCGTGTCATTATTCATTTTTAGTTGCGAAGCAGTTGTTTTTAGGAAAATTTGAATAGTATGCTGTATTCTGTATTTTGGTGCTTGTATCTCATGCGATTTGCTTAATATGTATGCTCAAATCTGTTGTGCAATATCAATAAATAAGTTCTGTGGTCCAGTGGATAACAGCAATTCCATTAAGATAATTTCGCTGTAAAGATGAAGGATATTCATTTTTGACCCTTGTTCTATCACCAGAGGATAACATCAGAGTTGGAGCATTGAAGACAAATGGTAAAGTTTAACGTTTTGTTTTCTGCCTTCTATAATTTTCATGGCAGTTTACTAAGCGAAGTACAACCATAACGTTGCTGAGATATTTGCAAAACTCTGGACCGCAGGTGTCTATGGTGGGGAACGAACGCACTATCGTCCTTTACGGGGAGTAACGCGTTCACCACCACACCATGCGGGTCGTTTCGCCTGACCCCAGATCAGCCCCGCTGACGGGTGATTGCTGTGGCAAAAAGATCGTTAGAAATAGCTGAGAAACAGGCGAAACGAAGGACCCGCATGGTGTGGTGGTGAACGCGTTACTCCCCGGAAAGGACAATAGCTTGTTCGTTTCCCACCATAAACACCTACGGTCCAGAGTTTTGCAAATATCTCCACAAATGGTAAATTTCACGAAATTTATGGCGTCAAACGTCAGCATTTCTTAGAAGATGAAAATGTTTTCTGAATGAAAAGAAGAAGACCATTGACACACTTTTAGCTACCTACAACAGGTAACCAAAGCTTATATAAGAGAAGCGAAGCCGCCTTGATAGTAGCGAATACATTGCTTGTTTGTTCCAGACAACTTATATCAGATATTTCTCCTAGGTGTCACTTGAATCACAATTCATTCCTTTGATGTGCCACTGCTACACAATGGGTTCTGCTCCTACGAATGACACAAGAAGCATCAGGTTTCCGGAATAGTGCTAATATTTTTAGAATACCAAGAAGAATCATGATGATTGGCCGAATTTTCACGAAATCTGGATTTACACAGGCACCTTATCAAATTTCTCTAGAATAGAAGTACTGCTAATATAGACCCGAACCGACTCGCATATACTTCTCAGTCGCCTGATAGCAAGCTGTTAGCCAAATGTGGAATGCAAACCACAGACACGCAAGCGCACACACACGCTTGCATGAATGTCTGGCGGACACACAGAAAATGTAAGCCAATCCGGCTTAGCAGAGTCAGGAAGTTTATTTTATGAACCTATTTGTTTCCGGGGAATACAAGTACATGGCGAATTTCTGGTCTTTTTGATCTATTCAACTTTTAACGACAATTTGTGGGCGCATGAATAACCTCAGAGTTCGGGGCATGGTAAAAATTCGTAAATGTTATGCAGTACTCATCAAAACATCTTTCAGGTTATAAACTTTTCTAACGGAACGATTTTGAAAAAGAGCAGACGTTATGAATCACTTTCGTGAGCAACTTTCTCTATTATTCTCTTCCTTTTTCATTATCACCACTTTTATCACTATGACTTACACCCACGTCCGATTTTCTATTAACCTCGGCATTGGTTGAACAATTCTTTCCACTTCTGCTCAGCAAACACGAGGTGCTATTCCACTTCCCCACTCACGAATTTCGTTTCGGCGGATTTCGCCTTTCTCAAAGCATGGAGAGGTCAAATTGACAGCAATCTATTCGGCCAAACACCTTCACAACCAAACAGAGAAAACGCCAAACCAAGATTTCAATCACATTGAACACAGCTTCGCACACCCACCGCTTTCTATGAGTCTTCCACACTATGACTTACATTTTTGAGGAGTATGGGGTTGTCATATCACTATTTACACTCAATCAATTTAACATTTTCGATGATGTTAACTTTCCTAAAGGCTCAATAAAGGCACTAATGATACGGAGCCTACAGCCTACCGCAAGTTAATCTTTGTTCTTAAAAATTAGAAGTTATGAAAAAAAAACTATTAGTAATCTACTGGTGAGCTGTTTGCTTCATGAAGATTCGTGCAACGTCAGCGCAGGTGATGCACGATGAGTAATAGCTTAAACCTACTCAGTTGATATTTGTGTGTTTTTTAACCATTTTTCGCATATTTTTTTAGCAAAAATATTGTATAAATATATAAAAAAATATATAAGGAAATGGAAAATTAGCGGAAATAACAAAAGCTTGGTCTAGAGTCTAATGTGTACAAGTTTTCCGCATTGTTTGACTATCTGCCTTGAATTTGATAGCGTGGATGGAAAAGTATGGGACCGGAACAAAACAGAACAGATTATTCCATCGAACGCTTCATGGACCATTAAAAATAGGCAAAATAACTACTTATAGTCGTAGAATATTTTTGTGGTGGCTAAAATAACCTACCGTCGAGAAAGACAAATTTTTCGTAATTACCGTAACTTTCAGCTTATTGACGAAGTCATCTGTCGAAATTAGGGAATTGTCTATTATTTATCAACGTGATGCATCTTAATTCATAAAATTTTCACTTTAACTGCTCGACATCAATTGATAGATTTATTGACGTCGTGCACTTAATGTGCAGAAAATGCCGGTGCTCTAAAAAGAGAGACAAAAAGAGGGAGGAATAAACGTCATCGACTCCAAGTGGTAGTAGAGGTGGAGATGAGAATCGTTGTAACAACTTTTAGTTTAATAGTATCCAACATCATGCTTTACAGTAATCTAGAAATGATGTGATGAAAATTAGTACAATTTTAGGAGTTTACACAACCACTCATCGGAAATTTACTAGTTCGCAAAAGACTGATCCATTTCAAAAGCGTAGATTCTTCCACTGGATGAATCCTGAAAATCATAACGCACTCATATCCATTAATAACATGAATACCTTGGCAACAGCTCATATTGCGTGAATTGGGAGCCGTTAAGAGCTATCCCGAAACACACATATGTGGTCCTTTACTCGATTCCTTGCCTTCGCTAATGAAGCTCTCCATTGCTCTGGTGTCGGCAAATTCGTACCAGACCTCGCTCAGAGTATGAAAACACATCTTAATGCATAAGTACTCTCCCACAAGTCATTATATGAGCTAAATATGCATTCAATCATCGATAAAATGCCACCTATATAGTTGAATGGCCTATTCCTCAAGATTTCATCAACGCTGCACACTCCAACTACGATGAGTGGGAAAAAATGTGATGTTACCCTTTATTGCGGCTATCCAGTATCCAAGAAATTTATCCCTAAAATAGTCTCAAATTTGTTTCCTTTCATACATCTTATTTCAAACAGAAAACGCATAAATTCACGGCTCTGAAAAAAGAACTTCTATGAGGAAAGCTATCTTCTTTGTGTTTTCATCATTTTCTGCTTTCCTTATGCATCAGTATAAAACTATGCACACCATGTTTGAAAAAGAAGCTAAAAATTTCGAATATAAGCAGGCAACGCTTCTTTTCTCAGAAATCTAGTGGAAATGGCTAAAACGTAGTACAAATTGCTCAAGTTCCCGCTGTAGCTTCCAAAACACTAAAAAATGATCTTAGCCCTTCTATTTACTGTCTTTTTCTTTTTAGTTGCAGGGTGTGTTGCGAAATATAACTCCTGTATAATGCCGAGATATTTGCAAAACTCCGGACCTCAGGTGTGTGCGGCGGGGANGTGGAAATGGCTAAAACGTAGTACAAATTGCTCAAGTTCCCGCTGTAGCTTCCAAAACACTAAAAAATGATCTTAGCCCTTCTATTTACTGTCTTTTTCTTTTTAGTTGCAGGGTGTGTTGCGAAATATAACTCCTGTATAATGCCGAGATATTTGCAAAACTCCGGACCTCAGGTGTGTGCGGCGGGAACGAACGCACGCTGTTGTCCTTACCGGGGGGCAGCGCGCTTCACCA